AGATCTTAAATAGGTTTAACATTTTTTTCCCTTCTAAATGTTTTCACACACACACACACACACACACACACACACGCCCTAAAACAGTAAACTAGAGAATCCCATCTTCTTTGCTGGAACTCCATCCAGCTTCAATACATATTGCACAAAAGATGAAGTTTCAAGCATGAACTCAGATCAGGTCTTGCCTGCTTTCCTTTTTTTTAGCTGTAAAGGCAAAAATAGCAGCCAGCAACTTAAACTGTGATTTTTTTTCAATCCCTGAGTGGATAAAAAAAGCTACTTGTTTATTATACGTTGAGCTATTGCTTGTTTTAGGGAGATCATCTACCTGGTTTGGTACAGTTTGTGAGAAGTGGATGTTATTTCCTGGGATTGTGTTATTCTTTGATTGGTCTTCCATGTGATGTGGAGCGCAACATGCCTGGAAGAAGGAGGAGAGATTAGTTTTACCACAAGAGCTAGGTGATGCCAGCCAAGAAGCTGTGAAGACCAAACATAGAGCAAGGTTGATTAGGGAACTGGAGGCTAAAGCAACCATGAATGGTTGCAGGAACTGGATCTGTCTAGTCTAACGAAGAGAAGAATTAGGGGTGGCATGACAGCAGTCTTCCAATATTTGACGAGAGGGTTGACCTATTCTTCAAAGCACCTGAGGACAAGAAATAACAGATGGAAGATTGTCAAAGAGGGAGAACTAACCTAGAATTAAGGAGAAATGTCCTGACAGTGAGAACAATTAATCTGTGGAACAGCTTGCCTCCAGAAGTTGTGGATGCTCCATCACTGGAGGTTTTCAAGAAGAAATCGGACAACCATTTATTTGTCTCGAAAGATATAGGATCTCATGCTTGAGCAGGCAGTTGGACTAGAAGACAACCAAGGTCCCTTCCAATTCTGTTCTATTCTGTTTTGTTCTTTTCCACATTCCACTATCCAGAAAGCATCATGGAAGGAAAAAGAAACTGCCCTAAGCACTATGGGAAGCCATCTCTGAGTCAATTGTTCCCATTGGACTCATCGGCCTATTCTAATTTAGATAATGTTCTGGGCTACACAATGCTTTAGACTCAATTCTGGGAGAGGGGGGAAGTGCTTTGCAGTATATAGAGTGCAAAATGCAGAACCTGCCAAAGTCTTATTAGAGTACACATACCCAGGATTCTGTGATTCCTAGAAATAAATCCATCTGTCTTAATGAGTCAACCAGAAGTGCTGCATTCATACTTCTCTGCATTCCTTTCAGAATTGAATCTGCAACATCGCTCTACTGTACGTGATGTGCATGGGTTTTTAGGCCAGCTATGGACACATACAATTTGTTTCTTTAAATTCAACTAATTGTCTCTTGGAAAGTAACACACACAGAATTTATATTTAGTGAGGGGGGGGAGAGAACTCTGATTGGCAATGCATTTTTTTTTAACTCATATAATTGAGTGATTGCTGTCTCCCACTTTCCTCATGATGAGCTGGCAGGTAAATTTGATTAAGAAACAAAAATAAATCATATCAAAATATTGCAAGTTAATATACAACAGCTTAATTTCAGTAATTCCTTTACAGGGCATGCAACTGCACTCTGAATTATGGTGACTTTATAATGACAGGGTTTTGGGCCATGTTAAACTGATATTCTGTAGCTCTGAATTGCTACAGGCCATTCCAAGCCTCACTTAGCAAGCCTTAAAAAAAAGAGAGAATATAATTAACTTTCCCCCACTGTGAGCACACAGACCCCGACCAAAACCATAATGAAGGAAGATGGATGTTCAGTGTTAATTTCCAGCAGAAGTGATCAAATGGAGTTAGCAGTGTGCCAACTATATTTCTGGGCTTCTTGTATTTCGCAGAATTTTCCAGCTGGTGTCAATTTAACATTAATTAAGATTAATTGCATTTCTCTAGGGAACAAAGAGGGGCTCCTCTATAAAACATGCAGTGTTGAAAAATGATAAGGCAAGCTTGTCCCTGCTATCTCTTGGCTGATATGAAGTCTACATAAGCAGAATATTTTATACAATACCGCCTATGTCCCCAAAATCCTATACATTATATTGAAATCTTCACAAGAGTTTTGAAAGCTTAGAAGATAGATTCCATCTAGGCTTCGGTTTCTCATGTTGGCTGAGAGGTTCTGGAAGTTGAAGTCCACACATCTTAAGGTTGCCAAGTTCGAGAAACATTGATCTAAACTTTATCCGGCTTAGAAACTAACTCAGGAAAATTGCTGAGACAAGGTTCAGAAAGATAGCAATAGCACTTAGACTTATATACCACTTCGCAGTGCTTTACAGCCCTCTGAGCAGTTCTGCAGAGTCAGCATATTGCCTCCAACAATCTGGGCCCTCGTTTTACCAACCTCAGAAGGATGGAAGGCTGAAGATGGTCTCGTTCTCCAGAACAGGATCTTTCATCCATCCGTGTTAAGCCAACTCTTGCATTCTCTGTATTTCAGAAAGTGTAGCTCTTTTTTAAACATTGGTTAGCCATACTTGTATCTTTAATATTTGTACTTTAAAGACTTTTCCAGCAATTTTCTTCCTGCAGCACATGATTGAAATTAATCCCAGATCTTAAGTTGATTTGCTAATTTTTTAAAAAAATATTTGGGTATTTACTATGTCCTATGGTTGTGGAACTCTATGTCCTTCCATTCTCCATTAATTAACCCAACTTCTAAAAGGTTAGGGTTAACTCTCACTGGCTTAACACTCCATTTCTTCTGTTACATACTGATTGTCCAAAAAGCAAACCAGTAGCCCTCCAGTGTACAACTCCCAATAGCCACAATCAGTATAATCAAAGTTGAAAGAAGCTGGGAATTTTAATTCAGTAGTATCTGCCCATACAAGTTTCCCATCCCTGGCTTAAGGCTGTGCTGGATTTCTATTGTATGGAATTCCACATTTGCTTTAAAATGTAGATAATACCACATATTCCTTTCAATATATGGAAGTTTTCTCTTGAGTCCCATTCCTTGGAATGGTGTTTCTCCACTGTTTGTCAGTGAAAGGACAACCAAACTTTCTGTCTCTCTAGTTTTCATGTTCAAGGGGGGATGAAATCCCCAGGTCTCTCACCAAACCAATTATTTGATGGGGTAAATCTAGATTACAGTAAGTGATTCTTCTATTATAGTCTGATGTGGTCAACTATATGGAGCATTGTCTTCCAATTTAAGCTACCACAATTCTTAAAGAACAGTGACAAACTGGAGAAAGTTGAGAGGTAGACAACCAAGATGGTAAAAAGTCTGAAAACAAGACCTTATGAGGGATAGTCAAAAGATATGGGTACATTCAACCTACAGAAAAGACAAGGGGGAGATATGATAGCAATAGCAATAGCACTTAGCCTTATATACCACTTTAACAGTGCTTTACAGCCTTCTCTAAGTGGTTTACAGAGTCAACATATTGCCCCCAACAATCTGGATTCTCATTTTACCCACCTCGGAAGGATGGAAGGCTGAGTCAACCTTGAGCTGGTGAGACTCGAACTGCCAAATTGCAGGTAGTCTGCAGTACTGCATTCTGACCATTGTGCTCAGTGCCTCATTGATAGCTCTCTTTAAATGTCTGAAATACTGTTGCACAGAATAGTCAGTGGTCTTTACTTTCTCTGCGTCAGAGAGAAGGACCAGAACCAACAGTTCCTCCAATATCTTCACTATATCAGGGCTCCAACAAATCCACTCTCATTCAAATCAAAAGTCTCTAGCCGCATCTCAGAGAAAAGTAAATTGATTTATTAGGAGTGGCCCTGTTGGCATAAGCTGGATGCAGCCGATACTAAATTACATCACACATTTCCCCCTTGACCCTGGTCTTCCCCCCCATGTGACTTCTCTAATGGGACACATCCATCTCCAAGAGTCATCCATCATGCTCTCCAATAACCTTCTTGTGCACCGACAACTTTGGGCTACAAGGGTAATTATCTAGGCATTTAAGGAATGCCTTGTTTTTCCCCACTCCCTTTTTCAGGCAGCTAGAAAGACCAAAGGAGTATCTTTTTAGTTGACACACTATTTTTAATTTTGACTTATTTATTGTTCAATTTATATTCCACTCATCTCACCTAGAGGTGACTCTAGACAGCTTACAACAAATAAAAGCAATAAAGTAAAACATTATTATTTATTATTTAGTGTATGAGGAGAACATGACTTAAGTATACATATACACACAATGCAAGTAATTATATATAAAACATCTATGGGAGTACGACTGTGGCCTCATAACTGGATGTCCAATTCAGCTCTTCAGGCTTCGTGAAGTACTATGAACCGGTTAGCAGCAACAACATACTGCTCCACATTAGAAGACTACAGGCTCTCATTGACCAATGGTCAACGATGCTAAACAACAAGGCCTTCCCTATTCACCAGGTCAATGCACAGTCCATCACAAGATTGAAATAGGCCAACATGGAAAACAGATATTTACTGAACATCTACTCAGTTTAACTCCAAGAATCTCTGAGAGAAGAACAGTCCAAGGTCCCTTCTTGTGGTCTGACTATTAGTGAACCCTCTACCAAATCACTCAGTTTAACCTCCCTCACTCTGTATGGATGAAATTGAACAGATGTGGGTAAAACATTAAAATAGTACAATAAAAAATATCACCATTAAAATTAATATTAAAATTGTCAACCACGGTGAGGATACACATTGGCTCAAGATACGGGAGCGTATCATACTGTAGGTATGGACTGAAAAAATGCAAGTCAATCACCATCACGTTGAAGTCTAAGCATACCCATCATGCTTTGTAAGGCTGAATCTCCTGATTATCCTTAACGTCTTTCTCTGGACCTTCTCCACCGTTTCTCTGAACCATTGCCCAGAGCTTTGCACAGCTCTTGAGATGGAGTTTCACCAGAGCAAAACAACATTTAAAATCATAATAATCCATATTATCATTCAGTACCAGACTGTATTTGGTTCTGCAGTAGATAACATTCATATTTCTTTCTCTCTCTTCCTTCCCTAGCTCGCTCGCTACACCAAAGAAGGATATCTCCATTTAGGAGCTCTTGGGACCACAATCTTGCTCCCAGATACCCGCTGCCTGGTGGATAACGTGAAGAGTAAACTCCCTCAGCTGCTTGACTGCGAGAAGGTCAAGAGCAGCCTTCACAAGCGTTGGAATTTTATACAGGTTCATGCTTTTTATGCAATTATTTTCATATGAATTGTTTGTGCTGTTGGAAGAAATATCCTTCTGGGTTCAGTTCCAAGTGGGGAAAAAGACACTGGATCAATGGAAGTTTGTTTGTTTGCTTGTTTATTTATTTGTCAAACATGTACAAGATATCAAGTATAATTATGAACATAAACAAAGGGAGTAAGTACAGATAAGTGAGGACAGTGAGACAGGGACAGTAGGCACACTGGTGCGCTTATACATGCCCCCTTTAAGGACCGCTTAGGAATGGGGTGAGGTCCACGGTAGACAGTTTGAGGTTGAAGCTGTGAGGAGTTGAGGCTGTAACAACAGTCAGGTAGGGCATTCCAGATGTTGACGACTCTGTTGCTGAAGTTGTATTTTCTGCAATCGAGTTTGGAACGGTTTACCTTGAGTTTGTTTCGGTTGTTTTCTCATGTATTATTGTGATTGAGCTGAAGAAGTCATTGACAGGCAAGATACTATAGCAGACAATTTTGTAAACTATGCTTAGATCAGACTGCAGGCGGTGCAGTTCCAGATTGTCCAGGCCCAAAATTTTGAGCCTGTGAGTGGAGGAGTGGAATACTTTTCTTGAATCTGCTGAATTGTATTAATGTCTGATATACAATGCAGGTCATGAGCTGTATTTGAGAATTGGTCTGGCAAAGGTTTTGTATGCCCTAGTTAACCATTCAATGTTGCCGGAAAAGAAGTTGCTTGGAAAGAAGTTTTATTGATAGACAGGATCACATGCCTTGGAAATCCTGGGTGAAAAGGGAAGAGATGCTAAGAGTCCCTGGGTTTTATGCCCTCTCTAAGCTTTGAACTTCCTGGGGTACAGGAAGCATATCCTGATTGGTTGCCGTCAGGGGTCATAGCTAGCTTTATAGGTCGTGTGGTAAGTTTGGTTGAATCTTGCTGGATGATGCAATCTTCCCAGGTGCCATAGGGTAAGATAGAGAGCTAATCCTATCATGTCCTGAGGGCCATGTCTTAATCCCATCACCCTGGAGCTGAAGGGAGGGCTTTGTCTTTAAAAACATGTTTCTCCTTTTCTCATCCAAGGAAATATAATATTCTGCCTTTTTAATATTTCCTTGAATATTTCATTCTTCTAGGAGAGGGGTGAGAGATTGGGCTGTCATCTATCAGACATGATGTAGGGTCTCCTGCTTGGGTGGGGGGTTGGACTAGATGACCTACAAGATACCTTCCAACTCTATTAATCTGTTAAAGTACCTTTGAGACAATGGATCCAGGAATAGTAATGTTGCCAAATTGCCCCTTCATCATCCCCAAACTGGGTTTGATCACTGACTGTGAAGGGTTTTGTTTTTTGTTTTGCTTGTTTTAATTTGAAGGAGAAGAAAGGACAGAAAACCTATCTGGCCATCTCATTAAAATTATATATCCTCTTTAAAAAGTTGGATCCTTTGTAGCGATGAGCTGAAAGCCATCTCCCATTTCCTCCTATGTACATACCACCAACATTCAGTGGAGGAAGGGCCCACTTTGAATACACCATTTGTCACCTAGTTTTGATAAAAGGGAGGCTAAAACAGATTCAACATTTCAAAACAAAAACAAACAGCCACACACTTTGTGAGAGGAGCCAAAGCTAACAATGGATGCAATGTGCATCAAATAATTATTCAGTTCTCTTTGCTACCCTATGCTTGTAAGCCACTGAAATTAAACCTACATAAAACTAAACAGAGAGTTTCAGTTGACTTCAGCCCAGCTCGACTGTATTAATTTTCATTTTAATGAGGTGATGTTCCCATAGCTGTTTCATAATATAGGAAGCAGCCCTGCACTAAATCAAACCACTGGTCCAGCTATTCTAGTGTATTATTATGAATCTCTATGTGATTATGGTCGCTAGTTTGGAGCCTGGCTATCTTCAGTTAATATGTGGAATCTGAGAATTCTCCTTTGTTGCCTTGGTACAAAATAAGTATGGGCACATGTCTCTCTCCCTCTCCCTCTCTCCCCTCCCTCTCCCTCCCTCTCTCCCTCTTTTTCTTTCTCTTTCTCTCTCTCGCACATGCACACGCACACACCAAAATGTTAGAATTCTGGAAGCTTCCTAATTTCCTACCAAAATCAGCCTTGCTTGCATTGGAGAGATTTCCCAACGTTAATCCAAACATGCCAATGGTTGAAGCTGAAACATTCGAAAGTAAAGCAGGTGTGCTCATTTCTCTCAGGTATACCAGTATAACTGTCCTACCTGGATAATTTGGCTGCAGTATGAACAATTGTGGCACCTGGGCATCACACATTCTAGTACAAACAACAATAGTAATCATAATCATATTTGTTACATTAATCAAGCTTATGTAATTCTCATGTTAATACACCTATTTATATTGAGATACAATCCTTCATTATTTAATTATTCAATGTTTCAATGTATTATTCTAATGTCAATCACAATATTATTTAAACATACATAATACTAATCATATTTGTTACATTCATTGAGCCTATGTAATTCTGAAGTGTACATATATTTGTATTAAGTGTACATATATTTGTATTACTGAAGTGTACATATATTTGTATTACTCTTCCATTATTTAATTGTTGAATATTTTAATATATTATTCTGATGCCGATTACTATATTTATTTAAACATACATAATAGTACCATAATTCATTCTCTAGTTTTTCCATTTTATTGTTGCTTTTTATTATATAAAAGTGTATATGCAAACATTCCCCCATTCTCATATTTCTACTTCTATTCTAACTTTTAATCATGCCACCGTTATATTAAAAGACCTTTCCTTTCTATCCATCATCTCTTTTCCACTTCAATAATTTGATTCTTATTCTTTTTTTTTTTTTTTGACTTGCCTCCCATATTCCTCTATTGAATATTTACCTCTGTCTGCATCCACATCCTGACTATTCAATCTAGGTATTTCTCCCATCTCTAGCCTCTTCCACTGCTAAACTTTCAAAATATCTGCCCAAGCCCCTATCCCTTTCAAAAATATCTTCCAGCATCTCCAGTTCTCTTTAAATCTCTTAAAATATTTTCCCCTGGTTTAATTCATTAATCATTGTTTTGATTGTTGTCTCTTTCTTATCTTCTTCTTTTGGTTGCTGGTTCATCGGTTCTATTATTTCCTCCATTCTTTCTATTGTCTCCTCCCTTTCCTGGGCATCTTGATCTTTGCTCATTGTCTCTTATATGATATTTTCCAGGTTTCCCTCTATGCCATGGATTAGTTTCACAATCTTCTCATGTTTTTTCCCCATAATGTCCTTCATACTTTGAAACATCAATGCCACCTCTTTCAAAGTTCCACTTATTTCCCTCTGATGGAGCATCTTGTCTTATTTTAATAAGTCCCACTTTTATCCAATAGTCCAAGAACCATATATTCAGACCTAAAATTGCTCTTCAAAAAATACACTGATCATAATTATTTGTGTCCCATAATTAATCAATCAGTTCCATTTAAGTAGTCCAAGGAGTTATCTGGAACATCTTTAGATCCCCTTTATAAATTCAATCATATATCATAGCATTCAAAGGTCACTTTAATTCAGGAGTGTCAAACTCATGTCGTCACGGTGACGACACATGACTTATTGGGATTTTTCCCCCTTTGCTAAACCAGGCAGGGGTGAGGACAGCACATGATGCATCCATCCTGAGGACCACGAGTTTGACACTCCTGCTTTAATTAGATGTCTTCCTTGTTCTCATATTTAAATATTCAGTAGTTGCGGGGTAGATGCATATAGCACAGTAGGTATCATCACAATCTGTTAAATAAATATTCCCAAGCTTGTAGTGATATATTATATTTTCCTTTCATCAGTAGGTGGCACTCTTAACTGGAATTTCAGTGTTGTCACAAGTTCCATCAGTTTTAGTTTGTTTTTGATTATTTTAATTATAATTCGATTGTAAAAGCAAAATTAATTTTGTAGGTAGATAGTTCCAGAGTTTTAAAATGCCTTTCCAATACAACGTCTTCACAGTTTAAGAGTCCAATTTCCTGTATTTTTTAAAAAAAATTGTTTTTCTCTCCTTTGTTCTTTTCTTTCTAATCTGTTTTTTTTTCCTCAGAATGCTTAATCACCATTTTGACAAATAGTTCTGAGCAAAATAATTCTCCTGGATTTGGGGTTAGGTTTTAAATAGAAAGAAATTATCTCACCCAGTTCCAGTCACTGTTCATCTCCAATGTTCCAGTACATTCTTAGTTGCCCCGGCTGTCCCAACTTCATGGCAGCCATGTTTAGACTGCCTCTCCTCCTCATCATGGCTGAGAGGAAAAAAAGTCTTAAGTCAGGCAGGAGAGTTGCAACTATCTGGGACCTTGCAGAGTGCCCCTCTTTGCTTTGTCACCTCTACAGGGCGGATTTGGCTCTTTTCAGAGGGCACCGATGGGGAGAACTCAGCACAGGAGTACGGAGACCTGCTCCTTGTGTCTGACCTTGTCACAATGTCAGCTGGAAGTCGCCTTTTTTTTTTTTTTACACTATTTCCCTGCTGCTCCTGACTATGAGGCAGGCTTTGGGGCAAAAAAAGTCTTTGGAACATGAATGGATGCTGACCAAGAACCATGCTGCAGCTCTTTAAAGCAACTATATCACTTCACTGTACAGTTCCAGCATGATCCTGAGAAAGTTCATGAATTACAGAAGCTGCAGGTGTGTGTGGTCTATATGACCATTCATTCCCCAAATGACTTTTTTTGCCTTCAGATCCAAAGCCCTACATAGCCTTTAGACAAATTAATTCAAGTGAAATCCATATTCCAGTACAGGATGTGAAAGATCGTCCATTGAGTGTGCCAATATATTTTCTTGAGATTTCTCTAAAGAAAGTTCTCTGAAGAGTTACTAGTTTTCCAAACTGAACAGAATGGTATTAAGTTTTGGCTACAGATACCTATTATCAATCAAAGAGCATCTATTAGCTTTGTCAGGGGTCTGTAGAGATTCTCAGTCATCCAGGTCATGGTTGTCCCAAAGGTGCTTTTTCAGGAGGCAACTGGACTTTCTTGTTTCTTTCTTTTGAAGACATTTTGCTTCTCATCCAAGAAGCTTCTTCAGCTCTGACAGGATAGTAATCAGGGATAGTAGTCGGGATAGCGTGTCAGGGGTCCTTAACTCAGTAGCCCACCTTTACTTGTGGGTGAATGTGTGTGGTGCTAATACATGCTAAAGAAGAATCCAATTCGAACAACACAAGAAGAACAATCCTACGGGCAAGCTAATTTAGCAATAGCAACTTTCTAGTCATAGGTCTCCCATAGGGTTGTGTTTCTCTAGCATTCTCAGCAAGTGAGCCAAAGAGCTTCCGGTGCACTAGATTGAGTTCATACAAGATGACTTGAGACATAATTGTATTAAGGTTCCTGTATTCCTTACCATTGGCTATGCTGTTTGGGGCACCTGGAAACTGTAGTTCAGCCATATCTGGAGGTTCATATGTTTCCTGTCCCTACAGTGAGCCTGTGAAGAGGCACAATGGCAGCATTTGTGTACCATACAACCCAAATGCTGAATTGTCACCTTTTCCCAGGTTCATATACCAGTATTTATCATGTATCAATATACCAAACATACAAGTGAACTGTGTGGGCTGTATTTGTACATGTTAGGTTTGGTTAATGTTATCTATGAGGTTGGAGTGGATGGATGGTAGGCTTATGCTGTTATAATCAGGGCCTGACCAAGCATGTTATCTGAAATCAACTAGCACGTTTGGCTGCAAAACTTAAAATTGCCACTAGTGGCAGCAAAGGATTAGAATGTTATAACCCTTTACTGCCATCTAATGGTTGATCCAGTTACAGCAAGTCAAACCTGGTATTTTTTTAGCCTGAAGCTATAGGACAATATCATAAAAAGGGAATTCCTCTTCCTTGCATGTCCTGAATTACAACTTCAAAAATTCCCAAACGACATGGGAATTGTAATCTGACCTACTAAAAGGTGATGGATGTAAACACTGATTTATTTCTCTCTCTCTCTCTCTCTTAAAAATAATCCAGCATGGTGCAATCCTAAACAAAGGGACAGGACGCTGTTTGGAAGTTGAAAATAAAGGCACATCAGGTATGGATCTTATTCTTCGCAGCTGCACAGGTCAAAGGTGGACAATTAAACATTTTATCAAGTAGAGAGCCTCTTACCCATCCTTCAAGAAATCTTCAGACTGAGTTCACACCAGGGGAGACATTGTGATCAAACCTTCCACTCTCATTCACAATATCAGGGAAGACTCATAAGGGAAGGTGTTTGAGTTGTTGTTGTTGTTTTTTACATTTTATTTATTTGAACTTTGGTTATCTCTCTGCCAAACTTTGACTGACTGATAGAATGAAAACATTCCAGATCTACAGTTGTCATTATCCTGAAGGCTCACGGAACATCTTGGCTTAAGGACAGTAATGAAAGCTTACAAGCATTTCCAAAAATAACCCTAATCCCCACTCCAAATACAGGACCAGCAAATTATATTTGAAGTTCAGAGATGAAACTTTTGATATTCTTTTATTTGAATGCACACAATCTTGGAAATGAGATAATATATTAATATGGAATACCATGTCAAAAGATTTAATAAAAAAAACCCAGTCATCTTCCATGAAGGTAGCATGAGATGTCTATCACAGCCTCATTTGGAAGTTTCAAGTGCTCTGGAGTTCTAGAAGGACATTTTATAAACTTTTTGCAGAATGTGTTCTTCATACCAAGCACACCATATTGTTATCGACTTCATGCTACTAGTTCAAAGAGGAGCAAGAATTATCCTGAAATGTTGTGAAGTACCAGGGATGTCAGTGCAATCCACCATGGAGTTTTAAAAGAAGAGATTTGTAGCAACACAAGAACATGGACTCTGCCATTGAAGTGAATGGACCCGTACATCTGTATTACTCCCATGAAATTCCCCACACCCACATTAAACCAATTTGTTTGTGAAAGATACAGCCATAAAAGATTGTTTCTGAAATTGCATACATCACAGTAGAGTTGTGTAAGAAACATAAGAGTCTAAATAACAGGCTAAAAAGAAAGAGGGTTATGGAAAAAATTGTATTTGTTTGGATGCTAGGAGTCAAAAATGACTTGATAATACATAATCAATATGGTGGAGAAGTATAGATGTAAAAAAATAAGAGTGAAAAGGGGAAAATGTTATCACAAAGAGCATCAGGGAAAAGTATGTTTACAAAAAAAAAAATTGGAGGGAATTTCCATTAAAAGGCCGGTACTTTAGGAAGAATGTATCTAATGTTATTGAATATTTAAGAAACGTAATGTTTGAAAACTTATGCAAATAACTGATTTAAACAAATTGATAAATGAGACGGGTTCTGCATTGTTAGAACAAGCCCTGGACCAATTTTCTGCCCTTTGTCAGTCTTAAAAAGAGAGTACACTATTTCCAATTATTAGTTGATGATCAATAACAAGGATGTTTTCATGAGGAACTATATTTCTCCCAGGTTTCCAATAAGCAAAGGGATTATTTTTGCTTCAATGTATGTGGGATGTGAAATATGCAGTCTTAATTTAAAGAAAAACCCTGTGAAAATGTGCTTAAAACAAACAAACAAAAACTCACACTGTTTCCTACTTGGAGCAAAATCCTTTGTCATGATTTTGGCATGTGTTGATGGGCTTCCTTAACAGTTGGCTAATTTAAATTCAGTACAGTTGGTGGAAGAAAAAGAAAAAGCTTCTTTAAAACAGAATTTTTTTTCTTTCTCTCAGGACATCCAATTAAATAATCCAAGATCTAAAATTCTGGTAAGACAAGAACGTTCTCACATGACATATTTAGCTGGGTCATTTAAACACTTAAGAGTTTGCATCTGGATAATATGCTAAGAATGGTTTGTGTTGATCTTTGTTGGTTTCTTTATGGCCTATCCCAATGTGCATCCTGCTTGGTTGATTTCTGTGCAATGAATTCTATAAACCCAGAAAACTGGGTTAATTCAGTAATCAGGTTAAATGGTTTTGAATGCAGCTGTTGTTCAATTCGTTTAATTAAATTCTTTAATTTCCAGAACCAATCACCATAAGATATGTTCAAGGTGTATCAACAGCTATTAGCCTTGATGGCATAAAAGGAATGTCCATATTCAGATGGCTTACTGTGTTAAATACCATTGGAAACAGAACATCAACTGAGACATTCTACTAACTACTAAACATTTCTGATACACATTATTGGTTGCATAGGAAAATAGGGCATTAGGCAAGATAACATTTTGGCACAATTCAATATTTTATCCTGTACTATTGGTAGTTCTTGACTTACGATCGGTCACTTAGTGAACATTTGAAGTTACAAACAGACCTCTCCAGAACAACTTACAACCTGGTTTCAAAGTTTTGATGGACACACACACACACAAAACTACCTCAGGGTCGCGTGATGACATTTTGGGCACTTGGCAACCAGCCTGCATTTACAGTTGTTTGCACATCATCACAATTTACAATGCTTTTGGCAAGAAACCAGCATGTACTTGTATTTTCTGAAAAAAGAAATGGATTTTAATGAGTTTGTTTAATGACTGCCCCATTTATTATTGATGGCACAAAAATGGTTGGGTAAAATTGGACATAGTCATGTGATGACCTGCTTAATGGCCAACACAATTTACAGCTATAATTTCAGGCTCACTTAGCCCGTAAATCACTGGATACCTGTACATTATTTGATTTGATGTAGCACCAGCTATCCAAGCCATTGAATAGATTATAGGGATAACAGATTAAAAACCAACACACAAAACCAGCCACTTAAGACATCAATTAAAACAAAAAGTTTTTTTTTAAAGTTAAAAATGTCATAATTAACATTTAAAAGCTCATATAAAAAGATGTTTTGCGGGTGCTTTATAAAGCTAATAAAGATGTTGAGCTTTCAATGTTTCAGGGAATGCATGCTAGAGAACAGGGGCAGTAGCTGAAAAGGCTCAATTACAGATAATTGTAGGCAAGCTACTCAAATAAGCTTAATAAAAGTGAAGGTTCATACAGGAAGTTTTCTTTCAAAAGCATGCTGGATGTGGAATTCTGGGAGCTGAAGTCCATGAATCTTAAAAGTTGCCAAATTTAAGCAGGAGTGGGCAACTTATGGTCCCTTTATGACCTGTGGACTTCAATTCCTGAGCCAGCTTGTTCAAGAATATTGGGAGCTGAAATCCATAGGTCTTAAAGGGATCATAGTTGCCCATCCCTGGCTTTAAGGGTAATCACCTACATTGTGTATTTGGCCAAAAACAATTACAAGACAAGAGTTTCAAGTCCAAGTGTTTATCCCTGCCCTCTTTCCTCTTCTCCCTCTTCTCTCTCTCTCTCTGTCATCTCTCCTCTCTCTCCTCTCCTCTCTCTTACTTTTTACCTATTTCATATCTCATATCTTATTTTATGTCTTATATCTTATCCTATCCTATCTTATCTTTTTATCTATCATCCAACCATCCATCTATCTCATTGATCTATTATGTTTGTACAGTCACCAATCTTAAAAAAAACAACTCTGGGAAGCTACCAGTCAATGAAATAATATATCAAGTAGTCTTCCACTTATGACAATCAAACCCAAAATTTCCATCGCTAAGCAAGGATTTTCACCATGGTGGAGCACAATATTCTAGTCAAGATAGAGGGTTTCACACCAAATAGTTAACATCAGAGGAATGGGACTGTTTAATAGACAAACTGAGACATAAGGCATGTGTCCTTGTAACTCTCAGTGGCCTGTAGTCATTTTTTATCAGAATCCCATAGCAGCCCCTAAATCTTAAGATGTGAATGCTTCTTCTAACTAAGACCATTGCTCTCTGTAGATAATAAAAGGGCAGGAAGTACTTTGAGATACATTATATTATTGCTTATGAATACATAAGAATGGATTATTTCCCTTTCCTTTCTGAAGTGTATAAACATAAGGACATTTCTTTGTCCGCAAGAGATGGTGAAATAGCTCAGTGGTTAAAGATTTATTTATTTAATTTATATTGTGCCTATTCACCCATGGCAACTCGAGTTCACTTACACAATGTAAAACCATATTTAAAACAAAAATAAAAATAAAAAAAAATAAAAATAAAACAAAAATAATCAAATAAATAAAGATGCTGAGTTTGTTAGCTGGAAAGCTGATGGCCTGGTTTGAGACCTGAGCACCACAGAACAGGGTGTGCTCCTGTTCCTTGCCTCAGCTCCTGCCCACCTAGCTATTTGAAAGCATGAAAATGCAAGTAGATAAATAGGTACCACTTCAGTGGGAAGATAACAGCATTCCAGGCACCTTGGTGTACAGCCATGCTGGTCACATAACCATGGAAAATGTCTTCAGACAACTCTGGCTTCCTTTTCCATAGCTCTGCTCTGTACTGCACTAATGGGGCCACGCTTGGAATACTGCATTCAGTCCTGGGTACCACAATACTCCTGGAAAGGGTAGGACTTTAGAACAGGCATTTGAAAAGATGCTGAGACCCTGGAGAGAGTGAGAGAAGAGAAACAATGATGATAAGGTATCTGAACCATGAATAGATATGGGAACTAGGTATGTTTAGCCTAACAAAGAGAAGGCTTATGAGCGACATTTCTTCCAATGTTTGAAGGTCTGTCACAGAGAAAAGAGGGTCTATTTATTCTCCAAAGAACCTGAGGGTAGGACAAGGAGCAAGGGATAGATATTCATCAAAGGAAGATTCAACCTGGAAGTAAAGATAAATTCCCTAGTTAACTCTGATGAGCACCGTGCCCCAGAGTTGGACAAGACTGGACAGGGAAGCCTTTATCTTTTACTTTGTCTGCAGGAATATGTCTCCCACTATTATTTTGGAGAAGAATCTCTCCAGTGTGCACTGTTAACAATAAATACTGCAGTGAGCCTTGATTATTTGTATTGGGTCCTACAATATGATTCCACTTCATATGGAGCTATTTTAGTGTTTGAAATTCTCTAAGAGTGAGAACAATGTAGTCAATGGAAAAGCTTATTTCCTGAGGTTGTGGATGCTCCATAACTGGAGGTTTTCAAGAAAAGACTGGACAACCATTTGTCCAGCATAAAATAAGGACTCCTGCCTGGCAAGGAGGTTGGACCTCCAAGGTCCCTTCCAACTGTGTGATTTTATAATTC